GCAAAATGAATTTCTATTTCAAGATGCTGTTGGTTCTTTTCCAAAGCTCAGGTTTGTGGTATTCCTCCTGTGTACCAGATGTCTGCCCCCAGGCTCTGAAACACCTAACAGATCCACACAGGGGAGCCGCTGGCCTCCCACTGCCTTGATTATGCAGTTCACAAGATACCACAAAATGAAAGAATTTTTAAAAACCCGTTGTTTATTCAAATCATTTACCAAGTCAGTCAGACAGTTACACTACAATACTTTGGAAAAGAAAACTGCAACTAATACTATGAAATAAGTAAGTCAAAATGACTTTTGTAAAAAGCAAGGGAGGAGTCCTTTGTGGATTGACACCTTGACACTGAAAGAGAAATACGGGAGAATTCCATTACTTCACTGCTAAATATACTATGTGTTCGTATAGTAAACATTCCCTCTGCTCCACATGCAAAATGTAATGTGTTTGGATAATTGCTGGTCAGGTCATGAAGTTGTAATGCCATCTTACAAACAGTTGCAAGATTTTGAATAATAAAATGTTTAGATATTAAGAAAAAAGAGGCCTACACATAGACCAAACTAAAGAATCAATAAAGAAGAGGTGAAGTTGTTTCTTAGTTTTCATTTCAAAAAGAAGCCTAATATTATCATACTTATGATGGAAAATATTAAAACAAACAAACAAAAAAAGATTTGGGTAAAATTCTTCCTTTAACTCTCAGGCGTTTATCTCTCAAAAGGATAAAGACAGAAACATTTCAGCACGAAAGACCGTTCTTCCTGTAACTCTAATGATAAAACTGTATTTTGAGAAGCCCCTAAAGAAGACATAGAAAGCTTAGCTCTTTCATCTTACATTAAGATTCAAAAAAAATATTTACTATATATCTACTGTTTATGTATATAGTAGAAAAACAACATTTACAAGTCAGACAGCATGGCAAGATGGTGTAGAGAATAGGTTCTAGATTTAGACTAAATGTTTGAATCCTGGTTCTGAGAGTTAGTAGATCTAAAACCTCTGGCAAATTCCTTAACCTTTCTGGACTTTAGTTTCCTTAATGATAAAATAGAGTTAATAATTATGACTACCATACAGGCTTATTCTGAGGATTAATTGAACTAAATCAATTAAAGTGCTTAGAACAATGCCCAGTATATCATAAGTGCTTAATAAATGATAGCCGTTACTATTACTTTATGCTTATTTCCTCATTTAATGCTTATAACACACCTGTGAGGTAAGTATTACTACTCTCATCCCACAGGTAAGACAAATTAAGTAATTTGCCCAAAATCCCACAGAGGTAAAGCTGAATTTGACTGCAGATAAGTCCAATTCCAATCCTATGCTCTTACTTCTACTGAATACTTCACATGCTCCCCAAGATCTTGCTCTTATGTCATCATAATATTTATTAAAATGTATTTAAATTGCCCTTTAACTGATCTTTCATTCTCAGAATAAACTATATGAGGACAGAGATTGAGTCCTGCTTATTCTTTCATTCCTTAGTCCACTCATCCTCCTGCTCACTCGTCTATATTTCAAGCCTGTTACGTGTTAGGTGCTGGAGTATCATACTGAGTTGAATGGACAAGGTCCGTGTCCTCATGGTACTCAAAATCTACCCCAAAAGACAGATAACAAAGTAAATACCTAATTATAAATTGTTGGAATTGTAATAAAGGAAAAGCAGAGCAGGGTGCTAGAAAAAAAGCATGAGATGAAAATCATTTAGTTGCAGGGGTGTGGGTGGGGATTTAAAAAGGCCTTTCTGAAGAAGGGACACTTGAGCTGAGATGAGAAGACTGAGTAGGAGTTAGCTAGGCAAAGAGTTGGAGACAGAAATCACTTATGCACAGGACCCTAAAAAAAGACCTTACCTGGTATGTGAGGAAGGGGAAAAGCCCTAATTCCTGACAAATTGTGAGCTCAGAGCAGAAACATATGAGATGAGAAGGAAGAGATAAGAGACCAGAGCACACAGGAGTATTAAGGATTTGAGAGTTTATCCTCAGTTCAATGGGAATTCCAGTTGTTTTTATAGAACAATCACTCTAGCTGCAGTGTGGAGACTAGACTGGAAGAGGACAAGAGAGGAAGCTGGGAAGTCCACTGGGAAGCTCTAACAGGAGATCAGAGGGAATGTGGTGGTGGTTTGGGTACAGGAGGGTAGCAGTGAGGGAGGGGGAAAGTGTACAGATTCAAGGTATATTGAATGCCCCAGGCCTACCATACTGCCTGACAATAACAGGAATTCAATAGTTTGTTGACTGAATGAATGAGTGATTCCTCAAGCCGAGCTGTTGCTGGTTCTAAGGCATCCACTAACCTACACGCATAACCTCCTCCTGAGCAGTATAATCAATCTACTTGGCAAAAGAGACACAGGAAGATGCTGAGGAAATGATTACTAAATTCATAAACCAGCTAGCAAGACTCCACTTATGAAAACTTCTTGATGTATAAACATATCTTTGTGAAACAAAATGCTCTTCCATTCTGATGATGTAAAGTTGTAGAAGCCAGATATCTGTCTGCTATGTAACTTTCCAAGCTTGTTAGAGAAATGTATTATTTAAAATAGCCCAGAGCTATGCTGCTAGAAACACAGTAAAACACTAAAGGTGCTGAAAGAAAGCCCTTTCATTTAAGGGGGAAAAAAGAAGCTGTAGTTAGAAAGAGGATCTATACTCATTATTCTACTTTCCTTGTTATAAAAACATGGTCTCTGTCATTACTTTCTTAAACAGCAAAACATTTTGATTACCTATTGGCAACAAATTCAAATACACAGTTAATATATTTTCTTATAATTTAATAAATTCACAAGGTCAGACCAGAGAATGTCTTCCTATGTTATTTAATAATTTCAACCTTTTATCCATAAGACATCTATTTTGATAAAACTATAAAACTAAAACCATCTGGAAAATCCAAATGTTTGTCCATGTTGATATGAGAACAAGGGAATCCATGATTTTACTCAACTGAATTCAAAATCTAATCACTAATCCCAACACCTCTCAAAATGTTTTACCATTCTATATGCCAAGAGCATTAGTAATAAGGTAACAGAGAGATAGTCAGGCTTACTTAGATTATTAGCTACTCTCCAGCTAGAATTAAGTTAAACCTAAGACATTTGTTGATTTTCCAATGATTAAGTTTTAATTGTTACTAAGTTAGTTAAAACAGCATATTGCCTAGGCTAGGATAATAAACTCAAGTGTTTAGGGGCACAAAGAAAGCTTAATTTTGCATAGAAAAAGAGAGTGCATTGGCAAAAGATTCTGTTCCAAGGTTCAGCCAAGTGTCTGCACAGCTTTGATCAAAAGGCCAACTACTAGTGCTCTCACCACTGCTTCTGAAGAATCTCAAAGTACAGGTGGTATTCAGGAGAATGGGGGTGGTGGAGGGGAAGCCTAGGCTGGATTTCTATGTAAGAAGCTTAAGGTTAAAAATAAAATATAATTTGCCTTCTTCCATTTGGTAGAAAACCACTTTCCCCTACAATGAAAAAACTTACGTAGCACTCTGTACTGCTAAAATTTCTTTGGACTCTTGAAAATGCTCTTTCTGCAGAACTGGAAAGTGGTACATAAAAGCATCAAATAATGCTTTGGTCTTGTTATTCTAAGAACAATCTTAAAGAATCTTGGTGACCATGGCAGATAATAAAGTCTTCTGTAAGAAGTTTACTGAAGTTTAATATTGAATAAAACAATGGTATAAATTGTTCAATCTATCCTTTATCACCCAAGACAAGATTGTATATTATCAGCTTAAATTCATATATTAACAACATATGAACTACTAATATCCTAATTCATACAAAAAAAGAGAAATAACAAGATTGTATATTATCAGATTAAATTCATATATTAACAACATATGAACTACTAATATCCTAATTCATACAAAAAAAGAGAAATAAACAACCTCAAATTTATGTTACTCCCATTTACTATGAAAGCTCTTCTTTCCTCTTATTTTGTACCAGTAAAAGTAGTACAAAATTATTTTCATTAATAAGAAGTCATTTATTGCAGCATGAAAAATATAAACCTAAGCCGAGACCTTAGCTATTAATGACAAAAAAAATTAGAAAACAGCATACCTTAAAGGTAATGGTTTATTTAAAGTGTACAAACTTATTAATAAAATCTTAAAACAATATTCAATTCTATGCGAGTCTACAAATCAAATGTTATTTTCATTCTCAATATCATCTCACACAACAGCTGAACAAGCAAAACTTGTACATTTTTATTTTTGCTAAACAAGCTAGCAAAGCCATTAAAAACAAATATATCCCGGGGCCGGCCCGGTGGCGCACTGCTACAGTGCGCCGCTTGGGAGCGCGGCGGCACTCCCGCCGAGGGTTCAGGTCCCACATACAGACCGGCCGCTCACTGGCTGAGCGAGGTGCGGGCGCAACACCGAGGGTTGCGATCCCGTTGCCGGTCCCGGTCCGGTACGGTACGGGCGTGACACTGAGGGTTGTGATCCGTTGCTAGTCATGAAAAAAGACAAAAAGGAAAAAAAAAACAAAAAAACAAATATATCCCAAGCTGCCTATATGTAAACAGGAAGGACCAATATTTTTAAAGTAAGTATTATTAAAATGAGGTATTTCAATTTTAAACCAACTGTAGTTTTGAATAATATACAGTATAAAACATAATATCACCCTTTATTTGAACCAAAATCTCAAACCTTTGGATTATATATTTCTTCAAGTTAAAGGTCATTTATTGTCAAAATCATAATCCTTTGATATTTTCTTAAACAGACGAAATTTGCTTTTTTTCCCCTAGGGAAATGCCAGACTATAACGATATCTAAAAAGTATGATTAAATTAGTTTCATTATTTCATGTCAACTTGATAAGTCACTGCTCTTTAATGCAAAAACTGCCACTTGCAATTAATGACTGTTGGTACTACTTCAATTGATCAAATGTCTAATACACATAAAACATTCAAAGAAGTTCTGTATATCTTACAGCAATTCAGTGGAGAAGTCTTGTCCCAGGGGTACGTAAATCTGAAGTACAAGAAACCTCTGGATCAGTCCCACTAGAATGAGAGAGAGAAAAATATACATTCAAATGTTCAAACAATTTATATGTGCATATAAACAGACACAATCACCCACCATCAACAAGCTAAAGCTTTTGGCATTTCAGTAATATATAGAACTGCAACAGTACTACCCATGACTTACAACCTTATTATAAAAGCAAGAAAATTGATGAAAAACAAATCAAATTCTAACAAATGTCCTTTAAACATCTGTAGCTTTGGTAAAATTTTTATGAAAATTTTAAAATAACTTATATTTACTATTTTTATTAGGTTGCAAGAGAACATACACAGAACTGCATTCAACAGAGATATATATAATTGAACTACAGATTCCTGTCAAGGTGGCTATAAAATCATTTGGCAATTATTTTTATCCACTGACAGTTTTAACTGTATTAAACAACTTAATAAAAAACAACAAATCAAGAAAAACAATTCTAACTACAGTAATTGCAACTGAACGTTTGATAAGCCATATCTAGTTCATATGGTTTTAAATGTGTCCATGTTGAGATGGATGGAGGGACATATTTTCATTTATAATACCTTTTGTTAATTTAATATATTTTTAATTAATTTAATGCTCACTAAGAACTGATAGTTTTTATTCCCTATCACTAGCTTCACCTGGATTAAAGGTATTTTGGGAAAAATCAATCCCTGTGGCACTCTTAATAGCTGAAGTCTACAACTGCTTTAAAAAAAAAAATCAATGATTTTATATGAGGGGACTTCAAAAAGTTCGTGGAAAAATGAACTTAAAAGATAATATGAGTGTTTCTATGAAATTTTTGAAGATATTAATTCTCCAAATTGGTTCACTTAATGCCTTTCTTCTTAGGTTTTTAACTTTTGCTTGATCTCTCAATTATGATGCACTTAATAGATGTTTAAGTATCACATATCCTAAAACATGCAACTTAGGAACTTTTTTCCCCATGTGGGACTTTAGGTAGGAAATGGAGATGTCTTGATTTATCTGTGAACCTCTCAAAGCCAATAGTACAGGCCAACATATGAATAAAAGACTTCAAGGAAGGTAACTGGTCTAAAATGCATGCTATTTTCTATTAATCCTGACTTCATAGGCTTAAATTTAAGTATTTTAAAGTAAAAATACGTTTCTGGATAGTCTACATAAAGACCTTCCGGTTTATTATCCCTGTGGTAAACTGTTTTGCAACTTTCCCGAACAACTGAAATAGTTCCTATGTTGTGTCGCAAATTTACTTTCTAAACAATAAAATATATTTGCTCAAATATGCTTAATATTATTTTAATCATACAGGAAGAACTTTTACTTAAAAGTACTAAGTTTATAAATTGCTCCAGAGAGCCATCAGTAGAGAAAGCAAGATGACAGAAATAGAAAACAACAGTCTCTGACTCCTAAAAAATTCTCTAAAAATCTGATTCTACCATATTTATGGGAAAAGACAGTGAAGGAACCAGAGTTCTGGTCTACAAAGCAAAGTGAGATACCAAAATGAGGCCAATTTAAACAAACCATCGTCGATCAATCTCTCTCATATCCTGCATTGATTGGCCTTACAGTATTTTTCCATTGCACAATGGCCTCTGTATTTACAGAGAGCTGAGAGAACACCAGGATAAATGAAATCAGTCTTTAAAAAAGGGCCCTAATTTATGTCAAAAATCTCACTGAATCAGCACTGTTCTCTTCAAACACAAAGAGCTACACATATAAGGCATTTTTGTATGAGCATTTTTAGATATGAAAGATCCCTACACTCAAAAAAAAGAAAGCTTTGTAATTCAACTTTCTCACATATAGAAGCCCTAGTTTCCAAAAGGCTTCACTTCAAAGATTAAAAGAAGTATGACGATACCATATGGTTAAGATCCGACAAAGAAAAAAGTACTTTAATAATGTTTGACACAGACTGATCCTGTGTGTCCAAGATGCTAAATAAATTCTATAGTAATATTTTTTCCAGGGGCTTAGTAAATTTAAATGGACTCTTCACATCTACATTATATTTTAAATCACTCTAAGTAATGCTGAATGTGAAACTACTGTTAGTCAAATAAAAATGTACATCAAGTACTTAAAGTTCAAAAAATTTAGTCTTTTTACTGAAATACGAAGGTTTTGGTTTTATAATCTGTTGTCTGCCTGAGACAAACTGTCTATTTTTTAAGGGATCAGGCCCTTTTTTTTTTTTTTTGAATTTTTAAAATACATTGAACTGTTAAAACACCACTAGATTTTCAAATAGCGGTTTTACAGTTGTTTCATTATAGCAAATGACCATAGATATTTTACAAGTGTTACACTGTCCAGAATTTTTAAAATACATTGAACTGTTAAAACACCACTAGATTTTCAAATAGCAGTTTTACAGTTGTTTCATTATAGCAAATGACCATAGATATTTTACAAGTGTTACACTGTCCAAAGAGTTGGGATAAGACCACAGTACAGTCATTCTTTACAAGTGCCCTGATAAATCATAATTGAAGCTATTCCATGGTTCCTATCATAGCCATGATATAAAGAGCACACTAAAGTACATCTCTCCCACTTCAACACACAAAACAGGAATCAGTTATGCTTTCATTATGGACTATTCCATATCCTTGGGCAAATCATAACACCTCTCTGGGCCCTTTTAGTTTTCATCTATAAAACTGGGTTAATAATTTAGATTTATGCCTCACAGGATTATTTACATGGATTAAATTAGTTCTATCATGCAATAAAGATTCATCAAACACCTACTATGTGCAAGACTCAATGATGAAGTTTTTGCAATGAATAAGAGACTAACATGATCTCTGCCTTCTTGGAACTTACATTCTAATTTCATGAAGGGTGTTACGAAAGTATATAACCCTGGGTCCTTGGAAGGAAGAGGATAATGAGTAAAGGTTTTCTTGAAGAAATAACATTGAACTCAGCTAGGAAGAATAACCAGGAATTGACTGGCCAAAGGAGTTGGGAGTAGGAGAAAGGAACAAATACTGCAGGCAGAGGGAATACTCCATCCTATGATGGAAAAGGACATAGTAGATTAGATGAAACTAAAAAAGGTTTAATGGGTTGGTAGAAGAGACAGAAGAGGAAAAGCATCAGGAGACAAGTCTGGCAATGCAGCCAGGAACCCAATCATGTGAGGCCTTAAAGGTCATGTGAAGGATACAGGTCATCCTAAAATCAATGGGAAGCCACTCATATGTTCACTCAATTATTCAACAAAAATTTATCAAATGTCTACTATGTGGCAGGCACTGTTCTAGGTGAACAAAATAGATTAAATTCTCTTTGCCAGTAATGCTTACTTTCTGGTGATTGTGAGAAAAACAAGAAACAACAATTGCATAGCATGTTAAAATGGTGACAAGTGCAATGGGAAAAAGTAGAGCTGGGTAAAAGGGATCAAGAGAGAAAAAGGGGTTTAAAACACAGGTTTTAACTTAAGTACAGGTCAAGTGGGCCTCAGTGAGAAGGTCACATTATGATAAAGGCTTGAAAAAGGGGAGAGGGTAAACCATGCAGCTATTTGGGAAAAGAAAGCTCTAGGTAGAGGATGTAACCTGTGCACAAGTCCTAAGGTGACAGGGTACCAGGCTATGTTTCAAAACAGCAATGAGACCTGTACGTTTGAAGCAGAGTAAACAAAGGAAAGAGTAATAGGCGATAAAGTCAGGGAGTTAAGAGGGCACCAGATACTTCATAGTCCTATAGAATTTTGATTTTTACCTTGAGAGAGAGGGGGCATTTTCAGTGGAGGAGTAATGTGATTTACATGTTACTTACAATTTAAAAGTATTACTCTGGCTGCTATTTGACAACAGATGGTAGGGAGGCCAAGTCAGAAACAGGGGTACCAAGTGGAAGATGAATGCAATAATATAAGCATAAGATAATGGTGATTTGGACCATGGTAATAGCACTGGAGGTAGCAAGAAATGCTCGTCTTTCAATCTATTTTAAACATAGTGCCAAAGAGATCTTCCTGATGAACTGAATGAAGAGAAAGAAATATCAAGGCCGATTTAAGAGTTTCTGGTCTGAGCAATTAAAAAGACAACTTGCTAATAACTAAAATGGGGCAGACTGCAGAAGAAGGAGGAATTTCTAGGAGTAAAGACGAGGAGTTAGGCTTTGGATATACTGCATTTAAGCTATCCAAGCAGAAATGTCAAATAAGCAATTGATGAACAAGTTTGGAGTTTAGGAGAGATGTCTGAGCTGGAAATGTAACATGGAGTAAGACAGAGATAGTATTTAAATCCATGATCTTGAAGCCAATGCCAAGGGAGTAAATGTAGTTAGAGGGCCAAGACTAAGTCCAGGGACACTGCAACATTACGTTGGGTTGGGAGAAGAGAAAAAATCAACAAAGGAGACTCAGAAAGAAGACCAACAAGGTAGGCAGAAAACTAGGAGTACAGGCATCCTGGAAGTCACTAATGACTTTTAAAAGAACACTGTCATTAGAGGGGGGAGATCAAAGCCATTGAAGGGTTTTAAACAGAGGAGGTCATGAAGAGATTTATTTTAAAAAGAATACCAAAGTGGGAGCATGAGCAGGCCTGAGGGGAACCTCATAAGATGACCTCATTCTCCAAAACACCTGAAACTTAGATCAACACAAGGCTTCAGGGATGCTGATCCCCAGAGACACACCATTTCATTCCAATGCCACAAGTAGAGAAAACAATGGTTTCAAACATGAGCCTCAAACACAAAGTTCTGGAGAAGATCCTCCAAACGGCAGATGTTTACATATGACAGAGCCACTTCTTATATGGGTAACTCTATACAACATATTCTAGGGTAAAGAACAGCAGGGATTGATTTATTTAGCTGGTGAATGATTTACTGAAGTCT